GAAACTAAATGTTTTGAATTCGTCTATTTGGTCTTGTTAGTTAGTTTCACCTCCGAAAGTTTTTTTCTTTTTTAATAACAAAAATGAACTATATTGCTGGACGAAAAACGCAAAAGATCCTGAAAGAAGGGCGGGTAAATAAGGGCTGACGGAATTCTTAGGAAAAACGCTATTTGCAGAAGACATAAGCGGTTAAGAACGATGCCAGTGTATTGGAGCGGTGAGGCATGGTTAAAGAAAAATGCTTTCTCCAGGAGTGTTGACCAGATGAAGGACCAATGCAAATTTGTTGAATACACAAATGTCATTAAGGAACTAGCAAAGGTATAAAAGGGCTTTCATAGAAATTGGAGAAAAATTTCCAGATTTTTTGGACAAGAGGGAATACAAGTGCAGTTGGCTTGTGTACCAGTGCACATCATGCATGTTTTGCCCTTTATATTTTGTCTGTAGCCGTATAGTTGAGCACAGATTTAACCTTTGGGAAATTTATGGTTGTGTTTTCCCGGAATAATCTGTCTTTTTATATGAATATTCTCGTACTAAAGGGAAAATAATTTGAAAAGGCTGAGAAAATCCAGTAACATCGCAACTTGTGGTACTTCAGCACGAGTTTTATAATGCAGCATTTAAGCAACCGCTGGGAAACTCATACTGTTAAATTTAACCCATAGGTGCTAGATGGTTTTATGATAGATTTTAATAAAAAATAGTAAAAAAGTTAGTAGCCGAATAGTATAAATAGCGATGCGTACCAGGGCAGCCACTGCGGTCATGCGTTTTGTGCAATTCTGTCCACCGAATGATTCCCTGCTAATGATTTTCACTACTTTGCATTTTGGTCTGCGCAAAAATAGTTCAAAAGTTGCGGAATTTCCCGCTGGAAATTTCACGTGAAAGCTGAATTTGGAATCTGGAAGGGTGAACATCCTTCCAAAATTTCAACCTCCTGATTTTCTGCTCTCGAATGCTTTTTGCGACAGCATTTTCACGTGATCGTACGTGATACCTTGGCATATTTAGGAACTGAATTCGAGTTTCTGGAGCTAATGCTTAAACAAGAAACAACCTCCTGAAATTTCCGGCCTCGTAGCTCTTCTGGCTCCCGAGGTGATGATTATTCCCACCATAACTTTCAAGGGGACGATAAGAGTTTACGGAGTCGCACGTGAGCTGGAGATGCTGCGCTAAAATTTCAGTTTCTTAGTTCCTGTTTTCCGGAGATAATAATTTACCCACCAAAAGTTTCAGTGGGCCGTACATGATATCCGCAGGCACAGGGAGGCTGAATTAAAATTTCAAAAGTCGTACGTGGGCAGAGAACATATCCATAAAATTTCGGCTTCCTATTTTGCGTGGGTTCCGAGGCAATAGTTTCCCCGCCAGAAGTTCCACGGTCCGAGGTGGTACGGGGAGCGTAGGAACGTTGAATTTGAATTTATGAGGTCGTAAGTGGGCAGGGAGTCATTGTTCTAAAATTTCAGCTTCCTAGACTCCTGGTTCTCGAGATAATAATTTACCGCCAAAAGCCTCACGGGGTCGTATATGTTGCCCTCGGGCAAGGGCAGGTCGAATTTAAATTTTCTGGATCGCACGTAGGCGTAGAACATACCGATAAGATTTTAGCTCCTTAGTTTCCGTGGTTCCCGAGATAATTTTCCCAGGCGAAACTTTTACAGGGTTGTACGTGTTACGCGCGGGTGCGGGGAGGCTGAATTCAAATTTGCGGGGTCACACATGGGAGGGGGACACACCTCTAAATTTTCAGCTTCCTAAATTTTGTGATTCCCGAGTTGAGAGTTGCGGACAAGTTGCTGCGGACACACACACAGACAACCTGTGACACTATGCGTTTTTGCATGCTGTTACACAGCACAAAACGCATAAAAATGAGTAGCCCAAGATAAGGAAGTGAGTAGTACTGCAGTGAGAGTTGCGTTGGATTTGCAATTTTACGCTGCTTGTCGCTAGTATGTAGCTTTTTCATCACTGCAAAAAGCAAAATTCATGCTTTCATGCGTGGTTCGGTGGAGTGCCAATGCCAATGATTGGTTGAAAAAGTGCAAGGAATTTTGAGGAATTCCAGAGTCAGCAAAGCAGTGGGAGTGAGAGGTTAGGCGAGAAAAGGGAGTCGGGAGGTGCTGATGGGACATTGTTTTAGTGAAGAGGGTACCCGGAATGTGCCGAATTGTACCTCTTCATTTTTCGTATAATCGCTAAGGTTGCAGGTGATGATGCTAAATAGGCTGCTGGCGCTGGAATTCGTTTAACTTATTTTGTTGGTTTTGCTTAGAAAAAAGTGAAGTGGATAGTGTACCTCCCGGCTGAGTTCGCCAGTGTGGTCTTCGATCTTACTCACAGTGATAATAATAGAGTACCGGTTGCATGAGTGCATAGAGATTCTTCGCGGGAAGGCAGATGTTCATCTGCCCCTTTTTTCTGACGTCTTGTTGTACCAATTAATTTAATTTTATTTTCTACAGCTGTACATTTATGTTGCATAAAAGGTATGCATTGTGTTGTGGTAGCGGCGACTGTGGTACCACATACCAGTGCAACGTGTTTTCATCTTATTTCCGCTTCAAGCAATAACACACAATGTACCACTATGTGAACCGAAACATTTCTTTCCGTTTTATAAAAGATTTTTCTAACTTCGTAATTCTTCTTCAACCCTTTCCTACTTATACCATAACAGTTCCTTTTCGTTCTTTTGATGAACTTGTTTTAAAATTTATATGACTTAATGGACCGAAACGTCTTAACTCAGTTGTTTTCTCCTATAATTTTTTCCTCTGCTTATACACCTTCCTTACTTTGGCACCCATCAACATGGATGCTATAATCGGCTTAAGTAAATTTGTGTTAGCTAATCGCAGAGGGGCGATAGCGTGGAAGAGCGCTGTAGTCGTGCTAAGAATATAGATTTCGACTTGTCCGCTGGGCAGATCAGCCCGTTCTACGATTTTTTCATTCATTTTGTTGCCAAGTTAGCATTGGGGCATGTGTGAGATCAGA